TAAAATCCTAGTCAATAGAAAGTGGTCAATACATATGTGAAGATAGTAACCAGGAGACGCAATTACATCACGCATGAAGAAATTTAAATCATTTCACTCTGTGCTAAATATGGCGCTGAAGATGTTGTCCGGAAGGACGACGAAAGCTTCGCGACTAAACCAACCAGCTCAGAGAACACTTTTAATTGCAAATCATCCACCTGAGCTACAAATCTTCTCTATTATTTCAATATCTATGGTTTGCCTGCAAAATTTGGGCTACCGATATCATATGCTTAAAATTCCATACTTATACCAAAAATACTATGTGGTTTCAAGCTGTAATCAAAAAAAATAAATCTGTCCTGTTCATTAGAGAAATATCTAAGAATTCAATGGTAACATTTTCCTCATTTTCCGTGAAGTAATGATTTGGATAGCATGAGGGGAATTTTATCAACAGGTCTTCAGCTTTTGATGTGCTTTCACAGATAATAAAACTATTCTCAACATATCTAAGGTATAATTCCATTTGTTTTATATGCTGTTGCAAAATGTCGGCTTCTTAGAATTAATTTCACTAGCTTCTACTGTCTCATCAATCTTTAAAAAATATATTTTTTTAAAACAACTTTCTTCAAGAAGAGATTTATTGATCTGTGCATACTCTTCGTTTGTGTTTTATCCTTTAAACATAACTTTTTGCGGTTATGAAGGAGGGATTGTATTCATATTTAATTTAAAGCTGTGAAAGCTAAAACAAACTATCCATTTTAAACTCTCTTTTGATAAATCCTATTTATTTTCTAACAAAAAATACTTGAATTCAGAAGATGGAATAGACATTCATATTTCTTTATGTTGGTAGTTAGTTCAACAGAAGAAGGCTCGACGTGGTGCGAAGTTTGATCTTCAGTCGATGCACTCATAAACCTTACTAAGCCGGTGTTAGTAAGGCCCATTAAGATGGAATTTTATCAATGAGTTAGATTAGCGACTTCACTCTATAAAAACACAACCACAGTAATACTGCGTAGACTAAGTTGTGCTCGGGAGACACAAACACGAGAAAACCAGGCAGGTTTTAGGCCAGGTAGAGGGTGTATTGATCATATCTTCACCCTTCGACAGATTCTAGAACATAGGCATTCCTACCGGCGTCCGACAATCACTATATTTCTTGACCTAAAGGCGACATTCGATTCTGTCGACCGAAAGGTTCTCTGGCGATGCTTGGCTGTGAAGGGAATGCCGAGAAAATACATAGCACTGATTAAGGCACTCTACTCGTACTCATGCAGCTAGGTGAGGGCCTATGGCGAGTTGTCATCTGAAGTGGTGACGACTAGTGGCGTCCGTCAAGGATGTCCATTATCCCCATTCCTATTCAACTTCATCATAGATGTACTAATGGACTTAACCCTAACTCACTTCAGCGACTCAGGGATTGACTTGCTACCAGGGAAGAATCTCGCTGACTTAGAATATGCAGACGACATAGTCCTTCTAGGGGAGGACTCTGACAAAATGTAGAGTCTACTGAACACCTTGAGAAACAATCTTTGTATGTTTGGCATGCGATTCGCCCCTGTAAAATGTAAGATGATGCTGCAGGATTGGACTACACCGACCCCTAGATTAGAAATAGGAAGTGAAGTGGTAGAGCACGTTGACCGCTTCACTTACTTGGGAAGTACCATCAGCCCCAACGGGTTGATCTCCGACGAAATCTCAGCACGAATACAGAGGGCTAGGTTCGCATATGCCAGTTTACACCGTCTCTGGTTTAGTAGACGTGATATCCGACTATCGACCAAAGGGCGTGTGTACTGCTCAGCAGTCCGCTCCGTCCTCCTTTATGGCTGTGAGACCTGGCCATTGAGAGCTGAAGACATGAAAAGATTATCTGTGTTCGATCATAGGTGTCTGCGTTCTATCTCCCGTGTGAAGTGGTATAATAAGGTGAGCAATATTGAGGTTAGGCGTCGAGTGCTAGGTAAGGCGGGGAAATCAGTTGACGAAACTGTGAAATTACATCGACTGAGATGGTTAGGACATGTGCTACGTATGCCTAGTCATCGCCTTCCTCCACTGATGAGAGATATTAGCTGATATATGGCCAGGCTGGAAAAGAGCTAGCGGCGGTCAAACCAAAACATGGCACCAGTCAGTGAAATCCACAACAGTTAGTTTAAGCCAGCTACGTAGGAAGGTGTAGATTTCCTGGTTGGGGTCCTCGGGACGGTAAAAACCAATGGTTGGAAACAATTGGTGACATGGCTCAAAATCGTTCTCAGTGGCGCAGATGCATCCACTCCTTGTGACTTATGATTTCTAATGAAACTGTTTTGTTCTTCGTTATTACTATTCCTTTGTCTCACACCTCTGTTTACTGACTATATTATGCATTTCTCCTACTTTCTTCTCTTACTTTGTGTGCTGTATGGAGGGAGTGTGGCGACTTGAACTGCCTCACATATGTGCAAAGTTGTATGTCGTAAACCGACCGACCGACCGACTGCTACTGAAACTTTAAACTCTAGTTTGTGAATACCTATGTTCCACTGGGAATAAAAAGGAAAGAAATTATTATAATATTATTATTATTCCCTTGGGTTCCGAGTGGAACATAGGGCTTCAACTACACATCTCCACTTTGTTCTATTTTCTGCCGTCCTCTTTAGTTAGGTCTATGATTGCCCATAATCCCTCATCTCTTCCTCACATGACCACCTCCATGTGACACTAGGACGACCCACTCGTCGTTTCCCGTTCGGATTCCACTTGAGGGCCTGGTTCGCGTTGTCATTCGATGGTCTCCCCAATGTATGTCCGATCGATCTCCATTTTGTCCTACATATTTGTTGAACTATCGGCTCCTGGTTGGTTTGTTGCCAGACAGCCTTTCTTTTCGCTAATCCTTTCTGGCCATTTGATTTTCAGTATGAAGCCAGCAAAGGCCGCTGTTGATGAAAGTCTTCAGCCTGTTCGAAATCGTTTTCATGACACGCTGACCAAGTTTCTGACCCGTATAGAAGGACTGACTTCACATTGGTATTGAAAATGTGAATCTTGTTCCTTGTGCTGAGTGTAGAAGATTTCAAAATTGGTTTCAGGTTGATAAAGGCATATCTTGCCTTTCCGATTCTGACTTTGACATCTTCATCCGTTCCACCTGTAGTTGGAACGACGCTTCCTAGATAAGTGAAGGAGGTAACCTCTGTCAAATCTCTGCCGTCAATAGTGATTGGTGCTGGTTGTTGCTGTTGCGGTCCGTTGGTTATCTTCATCACCTCCGTCTTCTCTTTGTTCACCTGCAGTCCTCTCTTCGCTGCCTGCCTTTTCAGCCAGTTTTTCGTCTGGAATTCTTCGAGTTTATGTGACACTAGACATATTTCATCCACACGTGAAATCCACTCTCCTCGAGTCTTCTTATTGGTGGTCCAGCGTATTCCTTTCTCCTTGCCCCCTACAGTCAGACGCAAAATCCAGTCGACCACAATTAAGAATATCATCAGTGATAATACGCTGGCAGCCTTGTCTTACTGCTGCATGCACTTCGAATGCTTCGTTGAGTTTTGCATTATGGATCACCTGACACGTACCACTGTCCTATAGCTCTTGAATGAGGTTGATAAAGACTTGAGGTACGCCGTAGTGTTGAAGTAGTTTCCAAATTACTTCTCAGTCAACGTCCTCTAGTGAAGGCCTTTTCGAAGTCGATGAAGTTGACGTAGAGGTTTGACTGCCATTCTATGCTTTCTTCTGTGATGACAATGCGGGGAATTGCAATTTGACCAGCACAGGATTTACCTTTCCTGAATCCAGCTTGTTCCGTGCTGGCGGATTTCTGCATCTAGTGCATCCTTTATTCTCTCCAAGATTGTGCGACCCAGTATTTTACTTGGCGTGGACAAGAGCATGATTCGACGTCAGTTCTTCCACTGGCCGTAGTCACCCTTCTTTGGCAGCTTGATGAGGTAGTCTCCTGTGTGTGAAGATTCAGATAAGCAATACAGTTTATTCTCCTTATTTGAATGACGGTAGCTAGTAGTTAAATCTAGGGCGCATGTTTCCCTCCTATTTCAGGCTTCTTAGTTGAGTATTCGTGAATGCTAGTGAGTTATAGTGTCGCCACTGGGACTGGAGCCCATTACTCATCGTATCAAATACTAAAGTTCTATCCATCAAGCTATTTATCCATGACAGCCAGCTTTTTTTGATGTCATTGCAATGATTTTCAAATATTCTGTGAATTAATCTCTTAGCCTAATGAAATCTTCAGTCACTGCCCACTAAACAGCATTCACTTTTGCCTCGAACTGTCATCGAAGTGTTGCTATTCAGTTATAGCTTCAATACTCTCAAGTCTGTGTGGAGGTCAACAACACTCAGCATCAAAAATATAGATCCGGATTTTCAACTCCAATGTGAAGTCAGTGCTACCATACGAATCAGAGACTTGCACTGCGCGTCATAAAGAGCATCTCAAACAAACTACACACCTTCATTAACAGTTGTCTTCGCTCAACACCACTCAAGATCAGATGGCCGGTCAGAAAAGATCAGCAACAGAGATCTCTGGCAATGAGTGAACCAACCAGGAACCGATTGTGAAACAAATAGGCAGGAAGAAATGGAGATGGATTGGCTGGCCATACTCTGAGGAAACCATCAAGTGACATCAGTAGACAAGCCATTGCTCGAGTGGAACCCGAAAGGGAAGCGGCGAGTTGGTCGTCATTGCAAGGGTGACTTGGAGTAGGTCATGTGAAGAGGAGATGAAAAAGTGTCGGCAGACTTGGAGCTAGGTGAATACTCTAGAAGAGAACCGAACTCAATGGAGACGCACGGCTGAAGCTGTATGTTCCTCTAGGAATTAAAGGAAACAATAATAATATAGCTTTATGTTGCACTAGGAAATCAAGAAAATCATAAAAGTAGTAGTAATAATAATAACAGACATATTTGCATTACTTATTTAATAATAACTGTTTGATTTCTTCATTAATTGTTTTTAGCATATTCGATCAGATGTACCAATATGGTCAAAGACAAGATATCACTTTAACATTGATTCATTACATCGACCTGGTGATAAAATTGGTAAAGTGACCGCCTATTCATCATCAGCAACATTGAACAATTTAAACAACACTTATAATTCACCAATGGGAGATGATACAGGCATGTGCGCGTATACAATTCAAGATAGTACTTATTCCTTTGCTATCAATGGACATGGTAAGAGTTATTTAATTTATAACAATAGGAAGTAATGCATAGTATTTAAAGTGTATTATTGTATTATTTTAAATATTTTGTTGAACATTGAACAGAATTGAACAATGAATAAATTCCTATTGCTAAACTATAAGTATAAAGAGAGAGAGAGAGAGATAGAGTAAAAGGCAGTTTGAATGTCATATAACTATTCAACTTTTCTGCACTTTATTATATTAATAACAGTAAAGTAACACAATATAAAAGACAAATGATTAGATGACATTTTGGAAACTATGTGGAAAGGGAACAAGATACATCGAAATATGTAATCACATTGTATATGAAGATAAAGTCTAGATGTATGTCTGTTTGTATGTTTAATTCTAAGCCATATTAGTGAAATTTTTCAACGATATGCTCCACTTTTTTCCTTTCCGTTCCCTGTGGAACAAAGGGCTTCAAGCTAGTGGCTTGAAATTTCTGTAGCAGTGTTTAATTTTTACAGGATGAGGTTGCTAGCCTCATGCCCAACCTTTCCTCTTTACCAGCCTTATTTCTGGCTTAGCGAAGTAAAAGAGTGCGTTAGCCGGGGATCGAACCCTGGTCCATGTGCATGGTGGGCGAGCGTCCTAAACGCTATGCCACCGATGCACATACGTTGCACTCGTTGACTATAAATAAATGTAAATACAGAAGTCAGAATTCACAGGATTTTAATTTCTGTCCAAGTATCTAAGTGGTCAATGTACTCTCCTCATAACTTGTAGATCCTGAGTTCAATCTCTGATGCCGTCATGATTATGTACTGCTGAAGAGATGATATTCTCCACCTAGAAAGGCAAAAAAATACTGACTAATTTGAGCGTCTTCTGAATACCTTTCGTAGAAAATTTTAAAATGTTTAGCATACGAATCGTCTCTGTCATTCAGATGTAAAATGATACTGTACGACTCAGATGCACTGACTTCCAGGTACAACATAAAGGGTAGATTAGTTGAGCATGTTGACCACTTTACTTATTGGGAAAGTTGCATCAGCAGCCGTAGTGGATTAATTATTGAAAAAATATCAGTAAGGATACAAAAGGCCTGCGTGACACTGACTAAGTTTTGTCTGCTTGTCTATTCAGAGGTTTGTGTACTCCACAGCAGTTCTCTCTGTCTTCCTTCATCTCTGTGAGACCAAGCTTTTGAAGAAGGGAGATGTGAAGACGCTAACTGTCTTCGATTACAGTGCTAAGTATTGTAATTTTGTAACACCATAAGGGAAGACACAGAAGCCAAGGTATATTTTAAAGGGATCAAACCGCTATTAATATATGTATATACAGTTTTATATTCTTTAACCAATCACTGAGCGCGGGATTTTGGTTGACATTAAATGACGTGAAATAGAATGTTCAAATATATATATATATATATATAGCATTGTGTTGCTAATACAGTATTGAACTGTGGGAATATGTGAGGATGATACTCCGTTGGAACACATTGTCAGTATTACACCAAAACATGTTGTAAGTGTAATATTGAGGTTAGGCGCAGACCTGTTGGTAAGGACGTCAAGTCAGTCAATGAGGTTGTGAAGCTGCATTGATTGAGAGGACCGAGACAAGTGCCATGCGTTCGTTAGTTTTCAGTGGTTCTCTAACTGATGTCACTTTGTGATCAAAAGTGAAATTAATTATACACTTACGAGCCAACAACACTTTGGACAATAACAGTTAGTAAAAGAGAATCTAAGGGATTTATCAAATTTCCTTAGGTATAGGTGTTGCGTCAATCAATTGCACGTGTGCAGTGTTAAATCGAAACATAAAAATTTAGTGATTAATCTCCCTCTCTACCAAACTATCTAACTTTCGAATAATCTCACCCTATTCAACCAACCCTATTTTTTGATTACATATAATTTAATGCATTGTGATGCAATGACTGAGCTTTCTTCAGGGTCACGATGCAAAACATCGATAATTTTCCACTGATTTACTCTTTCAGTATGATGTAGGTGATTTGTGGCTCGAAATGAATGATATCGTTGTGGTTGTGTTCTTTAAGCTTTCATCGTTTTTCTAGACAATGTCTTCAGTGCATACTTCAATTTTAAGCGAGCCTTTAAAATTGTCGACGACTTCATCAGCCGTCTTTGCTAGTAATCTCTTTTGTGAAACCGCTGGTACACGGGGCTTCAACTGGTTGAAAGCCTGAAAGCTTCAGTGGCAGTGATTTAATTTTCACGATGTTGCTAGCCTCACGCTCAACCTTCCCTCTTTACTGAGCTTACTACCGGTGTAGGGGATTCGGGAGTGTATTAGGCGTGGCCGAACTCCTGACCATGTGAGGCATCGTAAGTGAGCATTCTGCCCCTGAACCACCGACACACCAGTAGGATATATCTGCCGGGGTTCAAACCTGGTTTAGCGCAGCCAAAAACCAATATTTTAACCATTAGACCACAGCGGGGATATCAAGGATCCAGCTTAAGATCTTCATGTTACAAGATAAGCTCGATGGTTATTCAGCCACTGGAGCGCAGGTGCTTGTCATCGCCTCGGTGTTGGAGACAAGGCAACTTGGAGGACATAGGCAATGATTCCAGTGCCTCTTGCATGTCAAGCGAGAATATTGGTAAAGTTGTAGAGAATTCTAAAATAATAATAATAAACTTTATTCCAAAAACAGTCTTTATAATACAAAATGGAATTCTCATCACTTTTCACAATATTGCATCTGATTTACTCAAAATATTAATAAAATTGAAAATTAAAACAAAATTAACCAGAGGAATTTGTCCACATTTACGGTATGAGGTCAAAAATATTCGAAGTACAAAATGATAATAACAAATACAATAATAATAGCAACAGTGGTCTTCTTTCAAACAGTATTGTCGGTTCAGTTTGGAAATTTTAGCATGTTATAGAGTAGTGCGTCTAATATTCTGCTGATATAGCATGTTGAGGGGATGGACAAAAATAGCAGTTATTACAGAGCTTGGATAACGTCTTAACTTATGAGAAAATAAATAAAATAAACAAACAAAAAATTGAGAGGATGATAAATATTAGAAGAACAATAACAATAAAACTTGGTGTGATAAGGATGGAGGAAATAGTTTATTTAGTAGTGCAAAGAAGGTTAGTTAGTTTGTCTCTGACACTATTTTGATCACATTATATACGTGCCAAATATTGTATAGTGAAATTTTTATATTTAGACGTACGTGCATAAAGTCTTCTGAAATGACTTCTTCTTTTATCTGAGGAGAAACAAGGTTGGAGCTGTGGGCGAAGTGGATGCTCACAGTGTGACAAAATTCCTCTAGCAAATTTGTTGGTTGACATCATTTGCCTATCAGTGACAATGTCAACGATGTGGCCTAATGGGATACCACTTACCCTACTGACAGTCTTCAGAGTTCTATGAATATTGACATGGTCGTTTTTAGGCAATCCAGGAAAGAATAAGGGTGAACAGTAAAGTAGAATGGAAAGATGCACGAGTTGACAAACTGTGAGAGGAGAGGTTGGGTTATACCTGAGTGCCTTAACTTCTTAATATAAATAGTCAGACGAAATATTCTTTTAGAAATCACTAAGACGTGGGAAGATCAGGATAGGTCAGTAGAAAGAATTATTCCAAGATACTTAACTTCAGACTTGGTTTCTATGTCAGTATCATCAATTTTGCAAGGGCCATAGGAACCAACAGCTTCATTCAACTTTCTTTTACATCGGAAACTGAAATTAATAGTCTGACACTTGGAAGGATTTAGTTTAAGACCATTAGACGAAGACCATTTGCTAACTCTTGATAGAAAGCTCAACTCAAATGATGTCTGCTCTGTAGACGGTGTCTAGAAAGAAACAAAATGTTTCGGAACACTAAACCATTCAGTATAAATAACAAAACTAAACCCAAATTTCCTCTTTAATACACCAGTAAGAGTACTGTTGTATATGCTTTTTTGGCTTTTGTTATTTATCTATTGATTGATGACTTCGTTTAGTAGTGAAAGGGAGTGTTGAAATAGTGAAGACGATTATTTAACTCGAGGGGATATTTTTGGGATTGTTGGGTTTTCGAGTTGAATTGTTTACTTGTAGGAAGCTTTTATTTTCCTTTAGCTCTAACTTCAATTTGAAGTTATTTTTGAGAATTCTCTCTCAGTGGACTTCACTTTGTCATTGGTTGTTCGTGCATTCATATGTACTGCTATTAACCACTCCTTTCTTCGTTTTGTGTAAATATAAATGTCGTTCAGCCTCTTTAAATAATGACTATTGTATCATTCTAATATGAAAATTGTAATAAAATCAGTTCACCATCTTAAACTATTCTCAGACAAACTTTTGAAGATAAAAATAATAATAACACAATTAGAGAACTATTAATTAATTCTATTTTTAAATAGGAAACAAACGGATATGGTTATTACTAAATTAGTACTCAGAAATTTATAATAGAAACAATAATTTCAAGTGTTCAATATGATTTTGTTTAAATGTTTCATTTGAATGGTGAAAAAATGGCGCGTTTCACGCACACATACACGTAGACAGACAAAAGTGTAGACATATATGCATGTTTATGTGCTTATGTCCTTATGATGCAGTTGCGGTCACCTTTGACTGTATTGTTTAAGGTAGAGTACAGGTCTGCACTCATTATTATGAAATGCATTCACCGGAAACGCGTAAAGTTGATTGATTTTTGAGTATTATTCTGCGCACTTTTATTTCAGACACTGAGAAAAGAAAAAACAAAAAGAATGAATACTGAACTAATTTAAATTAAATTACCTCCTTTTCTTTGTTTAACACCAGTAAAATGACATTTCTTGTAAAACAAGAGAGTAGTGGTTTCCTGTGAAACTGAATTGAAAATATTTCTCCAGTTTTCTCTTATTAAGTCTAAGTCTTGTAGGGGGAACTTAAATATAAATAATATGGCAGGAGTTTATCTGATTAAACGAAGAATAATAATGAGTGATTTCCATTCATTTTTAGCATGTATCA